TTTTTACAGAGAGAAAGGGAGAGAGATAGAGAGTCAGAAACATCGATGAGAGAGAAACATCGATCAGCTGCCTCCTGCACATCTCCCACCGGGGATGTGCCCGCAACCCAGGTACATGCCCTTGACCAGAATCGAACCTGGGACCTTTCAGTCCGCAGGCTGACGCTCCATCCACTGAGCCAAACCGGCTTCGGCTAGGTTCTCTATTTTAAAACCTTATTTAAATGAACATTATTCAATTTGTCTTTCTCAATACTGACGCATGAACAAAAAGCTACAAAGAAAGTTAGTGAACTAAAATACAATTCTGAAAACTAACTATGATGACCTTAGGACATCCAAATTTTATCTATAACCCCATTTGTAAACAGCTGTATGATAAAACAGAATGAAGTAGTATAAAAAAACTAATTATTGCTAAAAGCTAAAGGAGTCAAGGTTGAATTCTGAACTGACCTGAATTATCAGAGCTGGACAGTGATAACTGGGCGTAGGAGAAAAGCTATCCCATTTCTAGTTTCCAATTTAAAAGTAACAAATTAGTTCAATGTTCTGATTGTATCTTTTACTCAATGGCTACTTTGAGTTTAAAATACAGTTACTATTTCTTTTTACTCTATTGTATATCAGATGTTTATACCCACAGCTCAGAAATCAAAAACCTTGATTTTCTTTCTGGCAGTTACTTTTCTCACCCCCAACTACCCCGCCCCCCGGCCTGATTGCCCCTAACTGCCCCCCTCCCGCCGGCCTGCTCACACCCAACTGCCCTTCCACCAGCCTAATCACCCCCAACTGCCCTCCCCTCCTGGCCTGATTGCCCTTAACCGCCTCTGCCTCGGCCCTGCCACCATGGCTTCATCTGGAAGGTCTCCAGGAAGGTCTCCCGGTCTAATTAGCATATTACCCTTTTGTTAGGATAGAGGCCTGGTGCATGGGTGGGGGCTGGCTGGTCTGCCCTGAAGGGGGTCCCGGATCAGGGTGGGGTCCCCTTGGGGGGCATAGCCGGCCTGGGTGAGGGGCCTGGGGTGGTTTGCAGGCTGGCTACACCCCCTTCAGGGTGGGGGTCTCTGTGGGGGTGGGCATGGCCATCCTGGGTGAGGGGCTGAGGGCCGTTTTCAGGCTGGCCACACCCCCATTGGGGCCCCCACTGGGGGGCATGGCTGGCCTGGGCGAGGGGCTGAGGGCTGTCTGGGGGTGGTTTGCAGGCTGGCCAAGCCCCCAGCTTTGTCCAGAAGGTCTCCGGAAGGTCTCTCGGTCTAATTAGCATATTACTCTTTTATTAGTATAGATAACCAATGGAAAAAGCTCTCTTCATCAAGTAAAGAAACAAATACCACCAGTAATGAGAGAAACAGGCTATGACACAGGGAGAAAGTCAGAGCTCCATCTACAAAGCATTCCTGCCAAAATGGCTTAACCTGAATCAAATCATAAGGAGCAAGGAGACAATTCTAAGTTAAGCAAAACAATTGGCCTAGACTCTTCCAAACTGTCCATGTCATAAAAGAACACCCTCCACCAGGGGAGAAAAGCTGGGAAACTGTCAAGATCTAAATAACTAAAGGGACTGAGGGGTCTCTGGCTGGATCGTGGATTTTTTTTTTTTATTTCTTAAAAATCCTTTAAAATATGTTTTTATTGATTTGAGAGAGAGCGAGAGAGGGAGAGGGGAGAACATTGAGTTGACTACAGAAATCTGAATACAATGCTGTATCCTATTAGCTAACAGTATTATACGGAAGTTACACTTTTCTGCGTGTTATAATTGTTCGTGGTTACGGAGAATGGCATTATTTTTATAATACACGTGAAGTACTTTGGAGTTGAATTTCTGCAAGTAATTCTCATATGGTTCAACAAAATACATACATTAGACAGAGGAAGCAAATATGGCCAATTATTGACGCCTGGCGAGTCTAGGTAACGAATATATTAGTTGTCGTTGTAATAATCTTGCATATTATTCCCTGGTACTCTTTTCCTTATATTTGGAATATTTAAAAAACAAAACACTGAGGACATTTTTAAAATAAAAAGGCCCCGGCTCCGTGAGGGGTCCGTGCGGCTGCAGAAGGGACGGGAGGAGGCGGGAGGGCGAGAGCCTGTTCGGGACCCCGGCCCGCAGGCTCC